AATCATGGGTGATGCTGCAATGAAGGAATTTGGGGTCGCTGCTTCTTATTTGAGGAAATCTGATAGGGAGCGTCTGGAGGCCCAGACTCGTCCATTTGACATGAAGAAGGAGTGTTTTGTACCCGACCCTGAGGTTGAGTACGTTAAGGCATCTATAATCAGCCGTGAAGGTGACAAAGTCACTGCTGAGACTGAATTTGGAAAGGCAAGTAAATTAATATATGGTAAAAATCACTTTTAGCTGTTTGAGAGATGCATTTAGTTTGGTTCTAAATCACAATATTATCTTTTCCAGACCGTCACTGTGAAGGAGTGTGATGTGCACCCTCAGAACCCGCCTAAGTTTGATAAAATTGAAGACATGGCCATGTTCACCTTCCTTCATGAGCCAGCTGTGCTGTTTAACCTCAAAGAGCGTTACGCAGCATGGATGATCTATGTGAGTTAAAGTTTAGTTTCAATGTCAAACCTTAACTATTGTAGTAAATCATTCAAATCAAGTGCCTTCAATACAATGAAATAATATATTTTGTTGTCTTTCTATTATCTGTTTTTCTGAAGACCTACTCYGGGCTGTTCTGTGTGACTGTCAACCCCTACAAGTGGYTGCCGGTCTACAACCAGGAAGTGGTCGTTGCCTACAGAGGAAAGAAGAGRAGTGAAGCKCCTCCTCACATCTTCTCCATCTCTGATAATGCCTACCAGTACATGCTGGCAGGTACATCATTTACCTTGTGCTTCATCATTTACTGTGATTCTGATCAATCAGTCATCACAGCATTACTATTTTAATTACTTGTTTTGACAGACAGAGAAAACCAGTCAATCCTCATCACGTAAGTCAAATAACTATTTACTTGTTTTAGTAAACAGAAATTGTTGGTCTTGGTCTGAGCCTTTTTGTCTCTTTTCCAACCAGTGGAGAATCTGGAGCTGGAAAGACTGTCAACACCAAACGTGTCATTCAGTACTTTGCCAGCATTGCTGCTGTCCCCAGTGGGAAGAAAGATGCTGCTGCGGAAAAGAAGGTTTGTTTTTATAGAATAAAAGTCTTATACACCAATATCAGGCTAAAGATACATACATTTTATTTCAGAATAACTTGTAATAGCTGAACGAAGATAATATATATATGCACACACACATATATATGTATACGGCCCAGCCAAAAAAAGGTTGCCATCTGGATTTAGCTAAGGTCTATGATGTGGGGTTGCTGCAGTCAGTCAGATCTAGGCTTAGTAACAGTATGTGTTCAAGGAATGAGGTCAGCTGATTACCCGAATATACTGAATGACCAGGTTATTTCATCAATGGATTGTTTCTTCCCTGATGGCACGGCCATATTCCAAGATGATAACGCCAGGATTCATGGGGCTGGAATTATGAAAGAGTAGTTCAGGGAGCATGAGACATCATTTTCACACATGGATTGGCTCCACAGAGTCCATTGAGAATCTTTGGGATGTGCTGGATAAGGCTTTGAGGAGCGGTCACACTCTACCATCATCAATGTGAGATCTTGGTGAAMAATTAATGTAACACTGGATGGAAATAAATTTTGACACTGCAGAAGCTTTTCGAAACAATACCACAGCGAATGTGTGCCGTAATCAAAGCTAAAGGCGGTCCAGTGAAATATTAGCGTGTGTGGCCTTTTTATTGGTGGTGATTTTTTTTGGCCAGGCAGTGTATATTAGGGGTGCAACAATACATGTATCTGGATTGAATCGTTCAATACAGTGCTTTAGGTTTAATRTGCACTTGTATCAAACAATACAGATTTTTAAAATGTATTTTATCATCTTGTCTTCTGAAGATGCTCTGTGTTGAAGGCTCAGAGGATCTACATTTAACTTATCCACCTAGGCTGCATTGTTGAATGCAGATCCACTGAGAAACTTGCTGTTTAGGCTACATTTAATTTAAAGACTGTACTTTTGAGGTTAAACAAAAGTTCGTAATTAATTTCAATAAATTACAAGTTAGTTTTTGTATCGAAAAAATATTGAACTGTGACACTAAAGTATCTAACCGAATCGTGGATTTTCTGTATTGTTGCACCCCTAATATATATTTTGTGAGCATGATATTGTTGTCATAACGTTTTAAATATGACACTGTGTCTTGGTTTGACAATATCAGGGCACCCTGGAGGATCAAATCATCCAGGCTAACCCTGCTCTGGAAGCCTTCGGTAATGCCAAGACCATCAGGAACGACAACTCCTCCAGATTTGTGAGTTTGTGTAGCTCTGAAAAATTATTAAGTCAAGTAATTTAACTAAAACAAGAGTCTCTTTCTTTAGGGTAAATTTATCAGAATTCACTTTGACAACAGAGGAAAGCTGGCCTCTGCTGACATTGAGACCTGTAAGTAGTAAGATTTCTGAAACGTGTTTGAAGGCAGACTCAACTCAAAGAATTTCTTTAACAGATCTTTTGGAAAAATCACGTGTGACCTACCAGCTCAAAGCTGAGAGGGACTACCATATTTTTTACCAGATTTTGTCTCAAGTAAAGCCTGAACTACTGGGTAAGCATATAAAAATACTACGGTAAGTGGTTTATGTTTTATCAATTTAACATATATATTAAAATAAATATTTTATCTAATTTCAGAGATGCTGCTCATCACCAACAACCCCTATGACTACGCCTTCATCTCCCAAGGAGAGACAACTGTAGCCTCCATCAATGACTCTGAAGAGCTGCTGGCCACTGATGTGAGTTCAACCTTGAAATCAGWAMATCATTTGCTGAAGCTAAATARAAACAAAAATGGCAMTGATWRATTTCACTTAGGATGCCTTTGATGTGCTGGGCTTCACTCAAGAAGAGAAGAACAGTATTTACAAATTGACTGGTGCCATCATGCATTTTGGTAACATGAAGTTCAAGCAGAAGCAGCGAGAGGAGCAGGCAGAGGCCGATGGAACTGAAGGTAGGAAATTACTTTTCAAGCAATTTACAACCATCAACAAAAAATGTGCACGCAAGAAAAAAAGAACGAGGTATTTGGATACCACAGATGACCTTGACTTAATGTCATTAAATCCCCAAAGATGCTGACAAAGCAGCTTATCTGATGGGCCTGAACTCTGCTGACCTCATCAAAGGTCTCTGTCACCCGAGAGTCAAAGTAGGAAATGAGTGGGTCACCAAGGGACAAAATGTTGCTCAGGTAAAGTTATGTAGAGGACTGTGTGAATGGTGCATGAATAACGTAATGTAAAGTTACGTTTTAAAAATGCTCCTAACTATTTTCTTGTTTAGGTGTACTATGCTGTCGGTGCACTGTCTAAGGCAGTGTATGAGAGGATGTTTCTGTGGATGGTGGTGAGGATCAATCAGTCCTTGGACACAAAGCAGCCGCGCCAGTACTTCATTGGAGTGTTGGATATTGCTGGTTTTGAGATCTTTGATGTGAGTGAGCGTCTTTAGTTTTTGTTTTGATAATTTTTTACTTTCTCAAACAATGTTTGATTTAAATTCATAATGAATAAGAGAAAAAAACTTTGCAATAAACATACTAAGAAATCACACTGTTGTCTACTTCCCAGTTCAACACTTTTGAGCAGCTGTGCATCAACTTCACCAATGAAAAACTGCAACAGTTCTTCAATCACCACATGTTTGTGCTGGAGCAGGAAGAGTACAAGAAAGAGGGAATTGAATGGACTTTTATTGACTTTGGTATGGATCTGCAGGCCTGTATTGACCTGATTGAAAAGGTGAGAAACTGGATTAAACATAAAATAACATAAATGTTAAAAAATACTACAATTGTACATCTATTTCTCTTCTCTCAGCCTATGGGTATCATGTCCATCCTTGAAGAGGAGTGCATGTTTCCCAAAGCCACTGATACCACCTTTAAAGCTAAGCTTTATGACAACCACCTGGGAAAATCCAGTAACTTCCAGAAGCCTAGAGTTGTTAAAGGAAAACCAGAATCTCATTTTGCCCTGGTTCATTATGCTGGAACTGTTGATTATAATATCAACAACTGGCTGGTGAAGAACAAGGATCCTCTGAATGAGACCGTTGTTGGACTGTACCAGAAGTCTACACTCAAGTTGCTTGCTACCCTCTTTGCAAATTATGCAGGGGCGGACTCAGGTACAGTAAACTTCCAACTATTTAACTCCTTCAGTGTCAAGAAAATGTTTACTATAAATATTATGTCTGTGTATATCAATGCAATCTAATATTTTGTACCCTGGCTTGACAACAGAAAGTGGAAAGGGTGGCAAAGGAGGAGGAAGCAAGAAAAAGGGGTCCTCTTTTCAAACCGTATCTGCCTTACACAGGGTTCGTAAAGTCAAAAAATATGTGTGGTTCATATTGATTTCCCATTTAAAAGTTAAAGATGTGTTGATATTAACAAAATCTKATTGATAAGCAGAACATTTAACATCTGCACAGGAAAACCTGAACAAGCTGATGACCAACTTGAGGTCAACTCACCCTCACTTTGTGCGCTGCATCATCCCCAATGAGACTAAGACTCCTGGGGCCATGGAGAACCCTCTGGTGATGCACCAGCTGCGCTGTAATGGTGTGCTGGAAGGCATCAGGATCTGCAGGAAGGGCTTCCCCAACAGGATCCTCTATGGAGACTTCAAGCAGAGGTATTGGCTCAGTGAAAGATTTAACATATTACACTTTTTTAAAGCCATGATCAAATAACGTTTTGCTACATAATAATAATTTTCCAGATATCGCATCCTGAATCCTGCAGCCATCCCTGAAGGACAATTCATTGACAGCAGGAAAGGAGCTGAGAAACTCCTCGGATCTCTGGATATTGACCATAACCAGTATAAGTTTGGTCACACTAAGGTAATAAATATTTGCCAGCATTTTCTAGTATAAAAAGATAATTGATAAGACAACATCATCATTGAAAACAAATGGATTTTTCATAAACTAACAATTAAACGTAAGATAAATTCCTGATTTAAAAAATCATTTGGTGCAATCTTTTATGTTTTCAATACTTCAATGTGTATTTCTAGTAATCATGTAAAATATTTTATTCCAGAACAACAGTGACAAAGAGTGTGTGCCCTTATTTCATGAATTGGATATTTACATGTTACATTCTCCAAAAGGTATTCTTTAAAGCTGGTCTTCTTGGTCAACTGGAAGAGATGAGGGATGACCGACTGTCACTCATTATCACTGGAATCCAGTCCAGATCAAGAGGTTTGCTGGCGAGACTGGAATTTCAGAAGATTGTTGAAAGAAGGTCAGTATTAAAACAAATAAAATGGCAAAACTCACAAAATTAATAGGATCTTAACAATTGTGGTTGATCACTGGCAGGGACGCGCTACTTGTGATCCAGTGGAACATMCGAGCCTTCATGGGGGTCAAGAATTGGCCCTGGATGAAGCTGTTCTTCAAGATCAAACCTCTCCTGAGATCTGCTGAAGCAGAAAAGGAGATGGCCAACATGAAGGAAGAATTCCTGAAGCTGAAGGAGGCCTATGCAAAATCTGAAGCYCGTAGAAAGGAACTAGAGGAGAAAACGGTCTCTCTTCTCCAAGAGAAGAATGACCTGCAGCTCCAAGTCCAAGCTGTAAGTCTCTTTCTTTACCAGGAATTTAGTTTGAATGTAACAAATGCACTCATTATTTAAATGTCAACAATGTTCAATATGTTCATTATCCAGGAGCAAGATAATCTTGCTGATGCAGAAGAACGATGTGAGGGGCTGATCAAAAACAAAATACAGATGGAAGCAAAAGCCAAGGAGCTTACAGAAAGGCTGGAGGATGAGGAGGAAATAAAYGCTGAACTGACRGCTAAGAAGAGGAAGCTGGAGGATGAGTGCTCTGAGTTAAAGAAGGATATTGACGACTTAGAGCTAACTCTGGCCAAAGTGGAAAAAGAGAAGCATGCCACTGAAAACAAGGTTTGTTAAATATTATTACAGCAAGAAAAAAAACTAAGAATTAGGGTTTTTATACACGATTAGAGGATTTACTTTCTTTCTTTCTTAGGTAAAAAACCTGGTTGAGGAGATGGCTGCTTTGGATGAAATCATTGCTAAGCTGACCAAGGAAAAGAAAGCCTTACAGGAAGC